CGGCACTAGGTCATTTACCCCAAAACCCCAAAACCCCGCAAAGAAATATCGTTCATTATTGATATCATAGTGATAGTGATGAAATTAATATCATGATTAGGCTTAAAATATTTTATCATTTTAAATACTTCTGAAGCCACACCTCCTCTGGAATTCTAACAATAATCATTAATACATAAACTTAAATACCTCTTGGCCCATTCCGGAGCTGGAAGATTCAATTTTGACATCGTGTTCTTGATTTTGTTTATCTATTCTATAACTAATGAAGATATAAATTCTTACCCTCTGTCATTGGCTAACTGTCCTCAGCTCTCTTTTTCTCCTGAGCCTTAGCAATTTGCAGCTTATCTTCGTCAATCTCATCCCAGTCTTTTTAATTCCAAGAGACTGTGTGATTAGTCTGGACATTCTAAAAGCTTTGGTGAAAGATATCTTAGCTCTCTTTGTATTCCTTAGGCTCTTCATCGTCTTTGATGTCAGGAATATCTTAGTTCTTGCTCTAATTCTCATTTTCCTGCTATCCCTCAATTGCAGGCAGCTCATTATCTGCTGAGTCATGATCTGATTCTAAAGCATGGTAGCCACCATCTTGGAAATCTTCAAAGCCATCTTAATTATTTCCCTCATCTTCATCAGAGGAAGATTAATTTGGCTCAGACTCCACATCACTGTCGTTATTAGCTTTTTAAAGATAATGATCAGTGTCTTTTACTCTGCTCTCTTGACTATTCTCCTATTCTTGTGGGAATTATTCATCAGTTTAATCTAGGACATACTGCAGTCCCTTGAAGTCATTAGGATCTCCTTTAATTTGGGCATTCTGGCATTCTTGGTACTCCAATTCAAGCATTTATAATCTCATATTAGCAATTTCTTCCCAATTAGGAGGTAGAATAGAGGTCATAGAGTCAGCCAAGTTTATATCCATATTTTCTTAGTCAGATTTTAGCTAATTCATTTTATCAATTTCAAGCATTGACTTCAAACTCTAAAATATTTGAAGCAGGGGTTTTGGGGTTTTGGGGTTTTGGGG